CTTTCAGGACAACACTTACCTCGAGTTCATTGCAATAAATATACGCAGGAGAACACTTAATTCGAGTTCATTGTAATACCATCATTATTAATTTTTCTCTGCTCTTGTCTCATCAATGAGAGAGTACAGCTGATATTTTTACTTTCTTTGTACGAAGCATTGTAATCGCGAAAAATTTCGGATTTTTCAATGAAAATATCCATCTTTGTAAGAACTCCGAACAAAATTATAAAATCTCTATTAATGCTATTCAAAACAAAAAACATGATGTTCATCGCCTAACGCCGAAACGTGTTTTTCGGCGTAAGATTATTTGCAGATTGCTGTATGAAAATTATTTGTAGGTGAAAAATATACAGTTACAAATCATGAGGCTTGGATATACTTATCTGAATGCAATAGAAAAAGATCGATTTCCTACCAAAAAATAGGAGAAAAAGATTCAATGTGCTGGTTCGTAGAAGACAAGGAAAGTTTTTCTAAAAGTTTTATGATTATAACAGGATTTTCTTATAACCAGGGTTCGTACGGTCCTTAAGAGTCCTTGAAAGTCCTTAAATTTTTGGGAATCGATTTTTGGTCTTTAAAAGTCCTTAATTTTGGCCAAAATCAACGGAAGGTCCTTAATTTTAATCATCTGAAATTTCTGTCTGTTTTTATGACTGCCATTTTGAGTGTGAATTAACATTTTGGAGGAATATTTTTGGCGATTCACTGACATATATGATTATCTTTTGAATGGGTTGTAATTTGTTTCTATTTCTAATATAAATGATGGGATACTCGAGTTTCTAAGCAAGAAGTGAAACATAAGCATTTGGAAATTCATATTTTCTAATAAAAGAGCTGTTAAACAAATTTTCGTTTTTGGGGATGTGAATTCTTTTATTAAACGGTTCTAAATTTTTCGACTTGTCAACATTTTAGCGATTGTAAGATCAGTTTCTATAGAAAATTTTTAATTCTCAGATCTGAAAATTTGTCGACGATTTTTTTTAAACATCATAACATATTGAAATTATACTTAAAAATAACATTAAAATAAAACGTTTTTATTTTTTGCTGTCATATTATAAAGTTTCGTATTGGCAACGTATTATACAATATTTTGAATCTGAAAAATACACAACTTATAATGCTATAGAGCATAATCTACGAAACAGCTCTTAACAAAAGCAAAATTAGCTATGTAATTAATTAAAAATGTCTTCTTTTTAATTTTTTCGTAGTAAGCGTTCTTCCCATGTAATTGTCTCAGAATACTAATTCAGAAGTCAAACAACAAAAATCTTATCTTATCTAATCATTATTTCCAATCTGGTTCATTAGCGGTTTTGCAGCTGAAGATGGTGGTTCGGTAAAACCATCGAAACTAGCCCTGTGAAAATTTTGTAAATATAACGCTGATTTTTGTTGTTTGACTTCTGAATTAGTATTTATTCGGCGTGTTATTGTGTCTTAATGTCTCAGAATATTCAAAATTCTCAGAAAATGCATCAGTTTTCTCTATATAATTAATTTTACGCTTTTTCCCTCCTCTTTTTTTTTTTTTTTTTTCCAAAATATTTCTGCCTTTTTGCTGTTACAGAATTGGCTAAACTTCTAGACTGACCAAAAATGTGACAAAATGAGATAAAAAATCAACATAAAGCTAACTATTAGTAAAACGTAAATGTCATTTATTATCTTTCAAATATGCGCAACTATTATAAGTGTAAAATATTTAATGCTACTTGATAAATTTGCACAAAAGTTTATTTTATTCTCAAACTTATTAATAATTATGTTTAACAATAATGCATCCGAATTATTTAATCATGTTTAAGTAATAATGCATACTACTTTAGGGATCTGTATTTATTTTTAGGATGGTATTACAAAAGTGAAATTCAGGCATAGAATAATATTTTTAATTGAATTTATTCAGTTCCCATTTGCTCATAGGTCCTTATTTTTTTCCATTAATGGTCCTTAAAAGTTTTTAAAAGTACTTAATTTCCGTGTGCAGAAATGTGTACGAACCCTGTATAACGGAAAACTTAAAATGAGAAAAGTAGGAAACAAAATGTCAAAATTAATTCGGATTACTATCAGATATGTTATTTTAACACCTATTTTTAAAGAAGAAATTCCATCTCTTTATCCAAACAATCTTCACAATGTTAAGTTCCATCGGGGCAAGTCTCCAAGCCATAACGCTCTATTTTTTCGAAAAAAGGCTACATGAAACCGGAATTGAAGCTATTCTCTTAAAATGCATCTCACCCAAGTCCCCTGATGTGTCTCCTGTGGATTACTGTGCATTTGGATTTTTGAACTAAGCTCTTTATAAGCGGCATCGCAAAATATTGGATGAACTCTGGAAGATTGTGAAGGAGAAATGGGATAAAATCAACCTTGATGCTTTAAGAAAAGAAATCTTGGAAATCAAGATTAATATGACAGTTCAACAAAAGGATAATATAAAGGTTTATGACTGAAAATATAATTCTATGGTTTGTTTATATATAAATCTTTTCAAAATCGTTACAAAAATGTGTGAACACCGTCTGCAATATGTAGTAATACGAGGACGAGCAGTTGGCTAATAAGGAAAGAATTGCATTCACTGTAAAACGTTTTCACTGCATTGCAAGTCTACAGGCAGGAAAACCGTCCATTGCTAAACTAACTGGTGTCCGCCGATAACATCGCGGCAAAAACATCGCGGACGAAAACGTCGCGGAGAAAACAATGTAAGGCGAAAAAGTCGTGCTACAAAACATCGTCGTCGAAAATAAAGCGGTTCAAAAACTTCGCAGTTTAAAAACATCGTCATCGAAAATATCGTGGTAAAAAATAAAGTATCTACAAATCATCGCATGACGATAACTTCGCAGACAGGCTTTTTTCAGGTTTTAATTATTGTAAATGGATATTCCCATAATGATTTGTAAGCGCAGTATGTAAAGAAGGATAATTTTTATTTTCACATATTTTATTAACTAATAAATGTTTGCTGAAAAAGTAAGAAGGAAACTTAAGCATAAAAAATTAAATGCAAATTATAGATTATACTTTTCATGAAAAATTACCAGTAAAAACTTTATAAAAATTATTTATTAATGGCCTTTGTTAGTTAACTATGTCGGTTTAAAATTCTATTAAGTGCTATAAGTTGCATTAATTTTCTATGCTTAAGTTTCATTCTTATTTTCTCAGCAAAAATTTATTAGTTAATAAAAAAGTATGAAAGTAAAAATTATCCTTCTTTCCATCTTGCGATCACAAATCAATATGGGAATATCCATTTACAGTTATTAAAGCCTGAAAGAAGCATGTCTGCGATGTTATCGTCATGCGATGATTTGTAGGATACTTTAATTTTTACCACGATATTTTCGACGATGATGTTTTTAAACCACGAATGTTTTAGAGCCTGCTTTATTTTCGACCTCAATACTTTCGAACTGCGATGTTTTCTTCCCACGATGTTTTGTAGCACGACGTTTTTGCCCTGCTTTGTTTTCTCTGCGACGTTTTCATCCGCGATGTTTTTGCCGCGATGTTTTCGGCTGTAACCAACTAACTACGCTTGTGGATAGGCCACAAGGGAATGAAATTTAGAATAATTATAAGACGCCGTAAGAGAGAGTATTTTGATCAATCATATTTGTTTAGTTGATTTTTGCCCTTGGGAGTCGCTCGCAAATGTCTTTTACGACAATATAAATTATTATTTTTAGAGTTTTACAGGAAACGGGATAAAGGACTGAAAATTTAAGTTGTTTGGAAAGAAATAAAGGTGCCTGTCCACTTCCTACAAATAGTGATCTTAATAAAGGGTGAGCCGCCAAAAGTTCGTTAACCACTTGCGCTACGATTAAACTTCACAGTTGCGATGCCGTGCGCTACAATATAATAAGCGGTAAAGTGTCTCATTTACGCCGCTCCGCGTCTGCGAGTGCAATCCGGAGCTGTAACTCGAGATAAACTGTTTGAAATTAATCATTTCTTGACTTATTTAATAACTTCGGACGAATGGTAATATATTTCGCAGAGAAAACCTTTTTAATTGACGACGAACTTATTTATTTAGCATTCTAAACATTACAAAAGGAATAACAATCCGTGAGTTATCAAGCTCAAAGCAATATATAAAAAACATAACTGTTGCCACAAAAAATCTACATTATTAAATTATTGTGTATTAGCTGAGTTCGTGCACGTTCCTAAACATAAACAATCTCGTTGTTAGGCGACGTGTGCACCACGTTATTTTTATTTTTGCGATAAATGCCTATCGACGTGGTATTCACGTCGCTCGCGGTTTGAGACAAAAGCGTCTCGACGTGCGTGGCACGTCTTTTTAGCGCAAGTGGTTAAAACTCGTAAAAATTCATAAAAAAGGAAGAAGGTATAAAATATTAATAATTAACAGGTTGTACCAACGATAATTTTAATTATGGATAATTTACCATTAACTTTTGTAATCCACGTTTTAGTTTTCAGTCGAATATCTGGGAATTTTCTATAGTCTGTAACCCATTTTATCAGCTAGCCATATCTCCCTTACAGTAATAACTGAAGTATGAAAATACAGGGTGATCAAAAAGTCAGTATAAATTTGAAAACTTAATAAATCACGGAATAATGTAGATAGAGAGGTAAAAATTGAAACACATACAGTGTCTCAAAAACGTGATGGGACGGACACTTGTGCTTTACAAAAGGAAACTGCAATAAAATAAATTTAAAAAACATGTAACATTTTTTGTGGGTGTGTTTCATACTTAAATTTAGTAACAATTATTACATAAATACATTTTTCTCAAAATATTAAAATATTAATTGTAATAAAAATACAATTGTTTAGAACGGAGCAGAAAATGGCTCACTTAAGTGATGGGACACTACGTACTATGCAACAAAAATCGTCTGAAGTAAGCAATAAAAATATCTTTTGGGGTATTTATTTTTACTTAAAAGCAATTGCCAATAATTTATAAAATCGTCTGCAGTATTTCTGTCCAGTTTGTTTTGGAATTTTTGTGTTTTTTAGCTCTGTGCAGCCATGAATGCTAAGACACAAAGGCTCCAGGACCAGATGGAATAGATAATGTCATGATAAAAATTCTTTATAGATCTTTTCCAGACGCACTACTTGCTCTTTTCAATGCGTGTTGGAGATTCAGACACTTCCCATTGGGAATGAAGACAGCAGAGGTAGCACTCTTCCTGAAAAAGAACAAACCTTCTGAAGAACCGCACTCCTACAGACCAGTCAGTCTGCTCCCGGCCCTGAGTAAAGTGTTAGAAAGGCTCATTTTAGCTCGTCTCAACCACTTCCTATTTCAAAAGAAACTACAGGATGCACTGAACTTGCAGTAAAGAATATGCTAAAAATAATACATGAAAACAGAGCAAATGATCTTCACACTATGGTAGTCTCTATTGATATTAAAGGAGCATTTGATGCATTATGGTGGCTGGACATCTTCAACTGTCTATCGAAAATGCAAGCTCCAATAGAGATCATTCAAATTTTGAGAAGTTACCTTGACAACAGGAAAATACAAGTTACACTAGATGACGGCATCGCAAAGCATAATCTGGAAAAGGGTTGCCCGCAGGGCTCGTGCCTGGGGCCCACTCTTTGGAATATTGTGGCGGACACAGCCCTCTCCCTTTATAATCAACAGGATGGGATAAGGATACAGGCCTTCGCAGATGACTTTCTGATTCTAGTGGCAGGCAGGAGTGACGTCCAAAAGCGTACTGAGGAGGCACTAACCACATTTTACAACTGGGCAAAGGCACATAAGCTACAAATATCTACCTCCAAAACGAAAGTCATGTTAATAGGAAGAAAAGGACCATTAAGACACCCAACGGTACGACTTAACGGACACACCCTACAATCAGTTGATAATCTAAACTATCTCGGCTTTCTAATTAATAAAAGACTCTCCTGGCTCCCGCATCTAAAGAATACCAAGATAAAAATTTTACAGTTAACACATTCAATGCTCAGAACTACAGGAATCAACTGGGGAGCTAGACCTGAAATCCTCTCAAGATGGTATCGGACAATATCCGAAAGGATTATGGAGTAGGAGTCTGGGGAGACAAGTTGACGAAACAAACGAGGAACCTGCTGAACAGCATACAGAGGCTACAACTTCTACTCATATGCAAAGCCTATAGAACAACATCAACTATGGCACTGCAAGTTCTCTCTGGCATTCCTCCCCTGGATTTGCAAGCGGAGAGAGAGGCAGCAATCATCAAAATCTCTCGGTTGAAAGCCGATGTTACCCTATGGAACAGAACCTTCAAATTTGAAGATTATGAACAGAAGAGTCTGTCAATGATACACCCATCTAAATTAAATCTGGAAGACACATTGCGACTTCACTACACAGCTCCAGGTCATGAAATGACCACAATCTTCACAGATGGGTCGAAGACAGAATTTGGAACAGGTAGTGCCCTATGCCTCCTAAAAGATGATAGCATTCAATTTCAGTGGCAACAACGCCTCAGTCACTACAACTCAGTATATCAAGCTGAACTCTTAGCTATAGAAACAGCAATAGAAGTGGCTAGGAGCTACACTCCGGATAGAGTTCACATTTATAGTGACTCGGCTTCAAGCCTTGAGGCTATAATAGGTAACAAAAGCACCAGCCCGCTGGTACATGGCATCCGCCTAAAGTTACTTAGTTTCCCGATAACACACAGACCTCACTTAAACTGGGTCCCAGCCCATGTGGGAATCAGAGGAAATGAGCTAGCTGATGCCTTAGCAAAGGAAATAGCTAATAATAGTCATGCTCCTGAGGTATCGCACAGACGCCCCATTTCTCATCTAAAAAGAGAGACATTTGCTGTACTCATGGACATATGGCAGAGGAGATGGTCAACAGCTCAAGTGGGTAGATTTACTTACAATTATATACCCAAAGTGAATACCACACTTCACAGCCGACACAGTGCCCTTACTCACTTTCTCACAGGCCATGGCCCTTTTCCCACTTATCTTAAGAGATTTGGCCTGGCCTCACAAGATCAATGTGCTTGCGGCAGCAGGGGTGATGTGGAGCACTTTGTGTTTGAATGCCAATACACTAGCAACTGGCTCCTAAGACGCCCTCCAGCTGCACATAAAGAATACTGGGCAAATAATACACTCCACAGAGGCCCAGTGCTCAAAAAACTTATCAAAATAATGTCTTACTGTGCAGAAATGTATATGTAATAAGAAGACAGTTAAAGGAACACTCAGTTAAAGGTATGGGAAAAAGTATGGTGAACACTAGTGAGTTAGGGAATAGTTCATACAGAGAGCAGTTTAGTAAGAACTTTGCAACAAGTATTGTGAACTTAGAACAATGAACACAATAGAACTCAGGTTACCTAGCAAATAGAAAACAGTGAACTTCGCATCTATGGTGAGCTGTGTGTATTAGCGGAAAAATAACCAAATTAGTAACTAACTTAAGTGGTGCACCTCAACATAATGTATACATATATATCTTCCAATGTTTATTAAATATTTCAATGTGTCTAAGTATTAATTACCTTAGATTTGTCTTTTTTATGATTATATTTATATTTCAATGTTTCTAAGTATTATTTACCCTAGATTTGTCTTTTATATGATTATATTTATATTTCAATATTTTTAAGTATTATTTACCCTAGATTTGTTCTTTAACATGTATACTATTTAACCTTATGCTCCAATTAACCAAGAAATAAATTTTAGATTGAATTTACTCAAGAAAAGTAAATATACAATATTTTTTTTTTCTTCTTTTTTTTTTTCCCACACAATGGAATCATGTATCACAACATCTGGCCTTGTATGCCCATGTAAATATCTAGACACAATGTAAAAACACATCTCCAGGCCTTGTATGCCCATGTAAAAACTCAGAAATATGTAAATTTCCAATGAACTTGGAAAGCGGCCCTGTATGCCCATGTATAAACTTTGGAATTTCAATAAATGGTCTTCTGAGCCGTCTGACCTGTCGGGCCCAACCTTCGGCTGGGCGGAGTGACGATGGTAGATGGTTACTGCTGGAATGACAGGACACTGTAGAGTCTCTAATATAGAGGCAGGGCAGTGGTCATTTTCAGTGGAGTTAATGTCTAGGTAGAATATTGTTGTAATAAGGTCCGGAGGAAATTGATAATTTATCATTTTGACAAGGAGGCCAGCATGCCAAACCTTGTCAAAAGCCTTCTCGATGTCCAAAAATAGGGCAGCAACAGTCTCTTTCTTATTCAGATGTTGTCCGATAATTTCTGTAATTCTTGTGATTTGGTGTACTGTAGAATGACCTGGTCTGAAGCCAAACTGGTAATTCTTTAGCAAGTTGTGACTTTCAATGAAGTTATTAACTCGATTTACAATAATACGTTCAAATAATTTAGCAAGAGTAGGGAGCAAGCTGATTGGTCTATAACCGCTCGTAGTTGACCCGTCTTTTCCTGGTTTTCTTATGACGATAATGGTAGCGTGTTTCCAGATACGAGGGAAATAGTTCAAATTTAAGCAGGCGTTAAAAATTTTTGTAATGAGGATTATCCCTTTCCTGTTCAGGTTCTTGACGCTTTGTTACCAATCCCGTCATAACGGCCGCTTTCTTTGGGTTCAAAGTATCAAGACAATCTTTTACTTGTCGGGGGGTGATGAGATTTCCTACGCTGCGACTATTAGTAGCAATGTAATCTTTTACATGGTTTTCGATGTTAACATCATTTGGGTTGGGGTACTGATTTAACGTGAATTGGTCTTCGTAATCGCTAGCGAAGATGTTTGCTATATCCTCAGCTTTATGAAAAGCCTGGTTGTTATGTTTAATTGGGCCAATGTTGTTCTCCTCCTTTCTGAGCGCTTTACTAATTCTCCAAACAGTAGAATCTGTGTGGGATAGGCTGTCTACAAAATTTTCCCATGCCTCTGAGCGATACTTAATCATCATGAGCCTAAGTTCTTTATTGCATTTATTAAAATTTCTTCTATCCTGCGGATTTTGAGTTCTCTGAAAACAATCTTCCGAAGTCTGTTTTTCTCTTTAATTTTTAATCTGATGTTGTAGGGGAGGGTTATGTCTTCATTTTTAACAAACTTCGCATTTTTAAGGCACTCTGGATTTTAATATTTAAGTTTTGTATAGCAGTGTCTATCTCTTCTTTTGTGTTAAGATTTGCGTTAGGAGTGATGTTATTATTAAGTTCATTCTGGTACAGAATCCAATTGGTCCGAGTCTTCATGGGTGGTAATCCATGTCGTAGCCCGTAGAGGGTAAAACGAACAGGTAAATGGTCGGAGGATAGATCATTGTCCACACTGAGATAAGGCTGTTGCGAAACATTAAAAGTAAGCATAATATCTAAGATATCAGAGTTGCTGCGAATCATAGGGCAATACGTGTGCTCCGTAGGAGCAAAAATTTGTACATTATTGTTTATTATGTAGTTATATAACACAATTCCATCTTGGTTGTTTGTCCTGCAGTTCCAATTTGTATTTTTACAATTCATATCACCTGCGATGATAGTAGGATAGCCCAAACTTGCAATATAATCTAAATCCTGCGTATTGAGCGAGTTTCCGGGTGGCTTATAAATCGAAACTATGATATATTCTACTCCTTTGCTATTCGGTCGCTTCTAAACGCATCGAAGTTTGCGATCTTTAGGGAGTCAGTCGTCCTGAGATGCGTCTCATTAAAAAGAACGACATCTAAGCTAAGCCTGTTAATGTAGTCTTTAATTTCAGTTACTTGACTTTTTATGCCATTACAGTTAAAGAACATAAATTTTGCATAGTTAATATGCCTACTGTTACATGCTAAGTTGTTTTGGATGTGATTATACATGATTGTTCATATCAAACATCTTAATGGCTTCAAGAGCCACGCTTAACTTATTCATCTGGTCATCTGCTTCTTTAAATTGTAGGTATAGAGAGTATAAATTTTTAATAAATCTATTAAAACCTTCAATATCGTTTTCGTCATTATTTTGAGAGGTTTTTCCTCCTGGCTTGGGTTTATTTCTAGTTATCATCGGTGCGGCGGCGGCGGCCGCGTACGTTTTGGAGTCGGAGCCTTTTTCTGATTGGCTCTCAGTTGAGCGAGTATAATTTTTCGTTTTTTCAGTCATGGCGCTGGGTATGAATTTCTTATTTTCAAAGTGTTTGGGAGAATGTTCCATATTTCCAGGCCTCTTGAGGCAATCATGACTACACGCTGCGTGCGAACCGTTACAAAGGACACACTGGGCTGCATGTTCTTTTTTATTTTTATATGGGCATTCGAAAGATTTATGCGATTCAGTACAGCATACACATCGCGGTTCGTTGTGACATGCCTTCTGGGTATGCCATACCTTTGGCAATTAAAAGTTTCGCTTTCTATGGAAATTAATAAGATATATAATTTTTTTTGATTTTGCACGCCTGGATAAATATTTTTTCCATTAAGTAATATTAGCTGTTATTTAAAAATTTTTAATAATAGCGCTTTCTATCAAATGCAAAACGCTCTTTTTTTTAAATAACCTAATGCATTTTTGCATGCATTAGTCCAGAAAACGGTTGTTTTGAAGGATTTCCTAAAAAGCATCATTTAAGCTTTATCCCTCTAAATGGCTCCACTCACTCTGCAGTCTATCAGAGATTTCGGTGATTTTTACCAGGGAATACTGGCAGCTTTCTGTTATTATTTGTCCAATTTTCAGTTGGGGGCGAATTTTTTTTATTAATATTTATTCTTCTTACACTTCCAGAGAATGCAGAGCAAATTTTATGATATACCAATATCACAATCACTTAAAATCAAGCTCCACCTACTTTTCAGTTTCGGTTTCTATGGAAATTAATAAACAATACAATTTTTTTAATTTTGTACACCTGGATAAATAATATTTTCCATTAAGTAATATTAGGTGTTATTTAAACATTTTTAATAATAGCGCTTTTTATCAAATACAAAATATTCTTTTTTTAAATAACCTAGTTCATTTTTGCATGCATTAGTCGAGGAAACGGTTGTTTTGCAGGATCATCATTTATGCTTTATCGGAAAAATGGCTCCACCCACTCTGCAATCTGTCAGAGAGTTCGGTGATTTTTACCAGGGAATACTGGCAGGTTTCTGTTATTTTTTGCCCAATTTTCAGTTGAGAGACGAATTTTTTTATTAATATTTATTCCTTTTACACTTCCAGAGAATACAGATGAAATTTTATGATGTACCAATGTCACAATCAGACAAAATTAAGCTCCGCCTACTTTTCAGTATCTTACTATGGAAATTAATACACAAGACAATTTTTTTAATTTTTTAGAACTGGATTAAATAATATTTTCCATTAAGCTGTTATTTAAAAATTTTTAATAATAGCGCTTTTTATCAAATGCGAAACATTCATTTTTTTAATAACCTAGCGCATTTTTCATTGCATTAGTCGAGGAAACGGTTGCAGGATATCCTGAAAAGCATAATTTAAGCTTTATAGGAAAAATGGCTCCACCCACTCTGCTATCTGTCAGAGACTTCGGTGATTTTTGCCAGGGAATACTGGCAGCTTTCTGTTATTCTTTGCCCAATTTTCAGTTGGGGGACGAATTTTGTTATTAATATTTATTCCTTTTACACTTCCAGAGAATACAGAGGAAATTTTATGATATACCAATGTCACAATCAGAGAAAATTAAGCTCCGCCTACTTTTCAGTTTCTTACTATGGAAATTAATAGACAACACAATTTTTTTAATTTTGCACAACTGGATAAATAATATTTTCCATTAAGCGTTTATTCAAAAATTTTTAATAATAGCGCTTTTTATCAAATGCAAAACATTCTCTTTTTAAATAACCTAGTTCATTATTACCTAGTTCATGCATTAGTCGAGAAAACGGTTGTTTTGAAGGATTTCCTAAAAAGCATTATTTAAGCTTTATCCACTAAATGGCTGCACCCACTCTGCGATGTATCAGAGAGTTCGGTGATTTTACCAGGGAATACTGGCAGCTTCCTGTTATTCTATTGTTATATATATGTATTGTTTATATATATCTATTGTTTATATATATCTATTTTGGGTCTGGTTTGTTTGATTATAGCAAAGCAGCCACGGTTATTTGCCAAGGTAAGGGTTCCTCGTGGAGAACTTTTAAGCAAAATGACTTTATGCCCGTTAAACGTGGGGAAATCTCGAAAAACGCCAATAACAGCATTCCCGTCGATCCGGATTCGAACCCCGGATCGACCTGCCAGAGTTCAACGATTTACAGTTCAGCCGGCAGTGAGCCCACACACATCTACACATATAACATTAAATAGTATTTACATGGCGTTTATAAAGTTAAACTGAGTGCAATTTAATCATAAAGAGTTTAGAAAATATTCTACGGAATTACTTCACTTCGTAGATTTTTGTTAAGCTTCACCATATTTCTAAAGGAATCTCAAGGATGGTTCCATTTCCAAGCTGTTTATGTACCTTATTTTTCATGTTTTTAATTACGAGGGCTATCCAGAAAGTAGATTACGTTTTGGAATAAAAAAATAAACAAAGTATAGGAAACAAATTTTATTATATACAGATGAAAGCCACACTCAAATATTACTTTTCTACATAGTCACCATACAAATTAAGGCATTTATCGTAGCGATGTACGAGCTTGGAAATTCCTTCGTCGAAAAATTCGGCCGCCTGCGCCTTCAACCACTTCGTACCTCTTCTTGCAGCTCTGCGTCGTCATCAAAACGCATTGATTGCAATTTCGTTTTCACAGTTCACACATTCACCCATGTTTCGTCACCAGTAACGATGCGATCGAGTAAAGAGTCACCATCCTTATGGTAAAGCGTCCAAAAGTTCAACGCTGCAGCCATCGCTGATTTTGTGGTCCTCTGTCAAGATTTTTGGAATCATCTTGCAAAAACTTGTGGTAACACAAGCTTTTCGCTGATGATTCGTGCAACAAACTTCGCGAAATTTGGGGA